GTTGCAGCGAGGAGAAGGCTGGAGGCAATGGAGATGTCATGTCTGAGGGCAATGTGTGGTGTGAATATAATGCAGAGAATTCGTAGTTTGGAAGTTAGGAGGAGGTGCGGGATTACCAAAACTGTTGTCCAGAGAGCTGAGGAAGGGTTGTTGAGGTGGTTCGGACATGCAGAGAGAAAGGAGCGAAACAGAATAACTTCAAGAGTGTATCAGTCTGTAGTGGAAGGAAGGCGGGGTAGGGGTCGGCCTAGGAAAGGTTGGAGGGAGGGGGTAAAGGAGGTTTTGTGTGCGAGGGGCTTGGACTTCCAGCAGGCATGCGTGAGCGTGTTTGATAGGAGTGAATGGAGACAAATGGTTTTAATACTTGACGTGCTGTTGGAGTGTGAGCAAAGTAACATTTATGAAGGGATTCAGGGAAACCGGCAGGCCGGACTTGAGTCCTGGAGATGGGAAGTACAGTGCCTGCACTCTGAAGGAGGGGTGTTAATGTTGCAGTTTAAAAACTGTAGTGTAAAGCATCCTTCTGGCAAGACAGTGATGGAGTGAATGATGGTGAAAGTTTTTCTTTTTCGGGCCACCCTGCCTTGGTGGGAATCGGCCAGTGTGATAATAATATATATATATATATATATATATATATATATATATATATATATATATATATATATATATATTATATATATATATATATATATATTGGGGAATATGTATTGTCAGTGTAACAGCAGACAATCAAATCGCACTTACGATGTTATGGATGCAAATGTTACCTATTTCTGGAAAATAACAATTATGTATTGATATATATTTGACCTATACTTGTTAAAATTCTTCACACGTAAGTAAGCTAAGTAACGACCTAAGGAATCAGGTCACAGGCTGGTAACCATATAATACATCCGAGGAAAATTAAGGTTAAAATATATGTGAGGGACAATGAGCTGTATTCTGCTAAATTAAACTGTAATTTTCAAATGTAAAATAAATCTATATATACAGAATAAAATTTATCATAAAAAAACTCACAACTCCTTCATTTTCTAATCAGTTGTAAAGTAAGTTGCAAGTGACCTTTTCTCTCGTGCAGTGACCTGAGCTCCAGAGTTTAAGATCAGTTCCCCTGGAAAAGGCACAAAGTATTTACGTTATATATATATATATAATATATATATATATAATATATATTATATATATATATATATATATATATATATATATATGCAATAAGATCACAGTAAACAGGTGATTTCAAAATATGCAAAACAACCACTCTGAAAGAATAGAGAAATTCCAAGCGCTTTCGTGACTACTCACATTATCAAGGAACTATAAAAATAGTTCCTTGATAATGTGAGTAGTCACGAAAGCGCTTGGAATTTCTCTATTCTTTCAGAGTGGTTGTTTTGCATATATATATATATTATATATATATATATATATATATATATATATATATATATATATATATATATATATATATATATATATATGAATTTTCTCTGCTTTCATGAGGGAGGAGGTTGCCGTGATGGTACTCAAAATTCTTGACTCGTTGAAGTTACTTGAAAGTTTGTTCCACTCATCTACAACTCTATTGCTAAACCAGTACTGTCTTTTATCCTTTCTAAATCTACATGTGGCATTACCAAAGATATAGTAAGTTAAAGTATAACCTGAGACCTATAATTTATACTTCTTGATCTGAATCCACGAATTCTATTAGCTTTATTGAGAATACTTATGTACTTCTGTCTTGGCTTTAAATTTCTGCTAACCAGAACTCCTAAATCTTTTTTCGTATTTACCTTGAATAAAACCTGATTACCTCCCATTCTCCAGGCGTTGTATGACCCTTATTATTTTCCTGAAATGTTATTTTCTCTATCGAAAGTTATATAATATTAATTTAGGTTACATTATATTATAAAAACTAATAAAAATGTAAATCTAACCGCAAGTAAACAAATTTCAAGAACTGGCTGTGATACGTCTGGCAGAGAGATGACCTAGGAATATAGGGAACGTTGAATTTTGAACGCGTATTTTGTCTGGTGCAAGAATGCGATATAGAGGGGAAAAATATTAAGAAGCTATATTTTTCCTGCAACCAGGTAACATGATTCACATTATTCTTATTCCTGTATCACCTCTAAATCTACAGTTTTAGTCACTTCTTGCTCACACAATTTCTTTCACTTCCTCTATAAACACAGCGGCTCGTACAACTCCGTAGTCATCGTGTTTTTGACGCAATACCGGAGTTTTAGATCCAAGGGCCAGCTCAGCTCCCAAGACAGTGAAAATGAGGAATATAGAATAGAGCCTTGATTGGCATTTCGTTCGCACAGTGGGCGATTATCTGTTTGTAACTTGATAAAGATAAAGGCTCTTAAATGGGTGAAATATTGTCAGAAGAGGTTCCAAATAAATGGATGTGTCTTCTTACCACCTTGTGGGTATCTAACACTGACATACCTACAGCAGACAGACCAACAGAGCAGCAGGACCAATTACACATTACACTTACAAATCAAACTCTCACAGATACTTAGCGCTGATCTTTCTTGGAATATTTGTGTTGCAGTACCACAAGACAGCTCGTCGCGAAATTTTGACCCGTGAAACAACATTCGTGATGGTTTTAAGAATGTTAATCCACAGATCCTGGAACTGTTTAAAATATCAACAGCGACAAGATAAAAAAAATGAACACTCACTGTAAATACTTGAGGAATTAGAAACGTGTTTCACCTTGGTATCATCTTTATTGAATCAATAAAGCCATCGGTTGACGAAATGTCTTCAAATGAAGATAAGTTAAAATAACCCAAGGCAGTAACAAAAAAGTTAAGGAAGCTCTCCCTCAAGAGGATGCTTTGATGATGGTGAAGGGCTCTTGATGATGGTGAAGGGCTCTTGATGATGGTGAAGGGATCTTGATGATGGTGAAGGGCTCTTGATGTACGGACTTGGAAGCTACCCTTTCCTTCTTTTCCCATATACTGTATGACCCTTATAGGTTGGGAGCTTCTCCGGTAATATAATATAATATTTAATTAATAATAATAATAATAATAATAATTAATAATAAAATAAATAATAATAATTAATAATAATGAAGAACAAGAAGAAGAAGAAGAAGAAGATTTTAGATTTTAGATTTTGCCACCGAAGTGGCTAGTTTATTGTGCACCCCATATCCATCCTGTGGACGGTTAGCGCGAGAGCATATGGATACACAAAAGGCCTAGGAACTAGGCCCCAAAGGGTTATACAAGAATACATATGGATTTATATCTACATATCTATAGTTCACTTATCTGTTACAAGCAAATTTAGGAAATTTGCTTAGTATATCTGGTATCTTATTTTCATTAATAAGATATCTTGACATGTCACATAGGTTATTATACTGTCTGTCTCTGTATTCCTCAATAAGTGGACAATTAAGCACATAGTGTTCAAGACAGTGACCATATGCCCTGATTCATCATAATTTACATTTAGGTTTGGATCATCATTGTGTCTCTCCCAAAACTGCCAGAAGTACTTATAACCAAGCCTAAGCCTGGCCACTACAACATCAGTCAGTCTGTTCACGAAGAAGAAGAGCAACATTCACAATAACAATCAACTAAGATACTGTAAACTTGGATTGTGAGTATTCAACTAGGAGGCTCAACATAACTTGATGGTTCAATTTGCATCTAGTGTTAAAAGACTTCAATCATTTCCCCCTCCTCGCTGTCTTCAAGGGTGAACTTGATAAATTCCGTGAGTCAGTTCTCAATCACCCAGGTTATAGTGCCTATGGTGGAATGCTTGCTGGCAGCACAAACAGTCTGGCTAGTCAGCCCATCAACCAGGATTAGTCTGGAACCGGACTGTGGGAGCAATGACCCCTGGAATGTACAACAGGTTTATAAGATACCCACACGTAAACAACGTCGCTAACCAAGTAACGTGGACAAACAGTGTGCACATGTGTACAAACTACGTGCACAACAGTAACTTTTCCATCTATTATAGAACTGAAAATGTGAACTTGTGTGTACCAAGTGTAGTACATGTGTGTACCACTGTAGTACATGTGTGTACCACTGTAGTATATGTGTGTACCACGTGTAGTATATGTGTGTACCACTGTAGTACATGTGTGTACCACGTGTAGTATATGTGTGTACCACGTGTAGTATATGTGTGTACCACATGTAGTATATGTGTGTACCACGTGTAGTATGTGTGTACCACGTGTAGTATATGTGTGTACCACGTGTAGTATATGTGTGTACCACGTGTAGTATGTGTGTACCACGTGTAGTATATGTGTGTACCACAGTAGTATATGTGTGTACCACGTGTAGTATATGTGTGTACCACGTGTAGTACATGTGTGTACCACGTGTAGTACATGTGTGTACCACGTGTAGTACATGTGTGTACCACGTTTAGTATATGTGTGAATATACACTCAAATGACAAAATAATCAATCGTTGCTGTATAAGCCATGATCGTATAATGTTTGAAAAAGCACAACATAGTCTGACAGCTCTTAAACATACATATGACCTCTTTCTATAGATGTATAAAGGCTTTCACGGGTGTAATACAGTCTTTTAAGGAAATACTACGGATTAAAAATAGCAATAAGGTAGTTGGTAAGCAATCGATCTTAACAAAACTTGAATGATTAATTTGTTTTAAGAAGACAGATGAGTGATCAACAACCTCACCTTCATATATCAGACACTGTTGCCGTGCCTCCTTCAGTGTCATTAAAACTTTAATAGGCTTTAAATTAACAAAAAATCTTAATAATAAAACGAAAAGACTTGTAAATCATAACAACCTAGTTATTATACGCCTCTTTCAACAAGCCTACATTTCATGACACTAACTCTGAAATCATGTATCCATTATCTTAATACAGAAATAATAAAAAATATATAATATTCCATAAAGTATATTAACACTTTCTATTTCTCCAGATTTTGATGGACGCAGGAAAACACACTGAAAGGCTCGGACGGGAAGCAAAAGACGAAGAGCCTAATTATAATTTTTAATTGTGTGCTTGAAGCGGTTAGTGAGGGAGTCACTAGTTGTGGACAGCCAGCCATGCTGTCACAAAGAAGCTTCACTCTAGTGGTGCTAATGTTGAGTGTGCACCGGCTCGTGGCTCAAAACACAGAAACAGTCAAATCCACCACCTCCAGCAGACGAGGGTGGAGGCAAGACACACAGCAGGGTGAGGCCCTCACGCCGGGAGAGGAGACAAAGGTGAACAGTGAGAGATGGAAGAATGTCATCGGCAGCTTTCTGTCTGAGAGGCAACTGCAGCAGCGGCCCACACCGTGAGTATTCGACCCACACACCTGGGTTTCTATTATATTTGGGGGAGAAGGTATTGTGTTACTCGAAAGAAATAAGAAAAGCAATCTCAAAGGGAGTTAGTCATATGATGACACACTTAGTGGAGTCCTGGTACTCGGAAGCTTTTCTTTGCCATACCTGCCGACGCCGTAAAAAATATGTATAACCTTACAAAGTGTCATTTTACCTGGCTGCTGGGTCTAGCCCCGGCTCTTGTCTCTAACCTTTACCTTCCCCAGCTACTCTAGTCCTATTTTCCCTTCCCCTTCACCTTCACGGGTCCCTTAACAGAGTGAGCTACTACTGCTAATGTCATCTTGCGTGTCTTTTATTGCAGTATTTCCTATGGTTTTATATTTCAGGTCACCTGAAGATTCCTCCCCCCTGCCAAAAAAAAAAAAATCATTACATATTGTTACGCACATTCTTGATAGGCAAATTTATTATTTTGCATAAAACTAACATAGCAGCCTAACCAATCCTTGCACAAACGGACGTAATATAAAAAAGTGTATTTACTTAACCCTTCTAAAAATATATACATAACTATATGTAACCTTTGTTGGAGGGAGGAATTTTCAAGTGACCTTTTAATTCTTGGAAGACAAACTCCCCGTAACTATATAATTTGTAAATTATATGGACTTCACAGCAGTAACAGCATCTCGGCTACACTTAGCTATTTCTAAAAGTATCTGAACTAGGTAAAAATATGATTGGGGTGTTCGAGATATGTGATATTTTCATGCCAAAAATTACATTAATTATGGAAGAAAAACCAGTTGAAAATTTTTCGAAAATAAATATTCGCATAATTCTGTAATTCCAAAACTAACATTGACAGGAATGTAAATTTATGAGTGTAATAATTAAATAATGCTGATATATACACATTTATAGAGATAGTGGTTAATAAATTAACTTACCGGACAATTTTCTATAAAAGTAGAAAAGTGGAAAGAGAGAGAGAGAGAGAGAGGGATGGGGGGGGGGGGGGGTATCGTGAAGTTTTCAGCGAGCTAGACATGAAAGAATACGCAGCACTCAGCACATTGAAAGTTCACACACCCAGGAAACACTCGACTCTCATCTCACCTAAAGTTGCAGCAAAACTAAACGTTATCGTCTTTGTTTCTTCTTCTTCTTTCTTCTTCTTCTTATTCTTCTCCTTATTCTTCTCCTTCTTATTCTTCTCCTTCTTATTCTTCTCCTTCTTATTCTTCTCCTTCTCCTTCTTCTCCTTCTCCTTCTTCTCCTTCTTCTTCTCCTTCTTCTCCTTCTTCTTCTCCTTCTTCTCCTTCTTCTCCTTCTTCTTCTATTTCTCTTCTCCTTCTTCTTCTCCTTCTTCTCCTTCTTCTTCTCCTTCTCCTTCTCTTCTCCTTCTCCTCCTTCTCCTCTTCTTCTTCTTCTTCTTCATCTTCTTCTTCTGTCGTGTGTTCCAGTCAGTACAAGAAATGTTGGTGGCTTCATCCTCCGTGTACAAAACGTTAACCATACGCTTAGTTGTACGTTTTGCGAATCAGTTTTACAGGCTAAGAGCTGTTATCCTACCTCAGCTCATTTCAAAGCCCAACCTTATCTACAGTATACTACCACCCCCCCCCCCAAGATGCGACACACAACAGTCGGCTAACACACCTACTTACTGCTAGATGAAGAGGGCAATAGGTGTATGGAAACATGCCCAACACCTGCCGTCCTGTTCACCTAGCAGTAAGTAGGTACCTGGATGTCAGCCTACGTGATAGTAAAAGCAACACCCAGTCATTAAACAAAAAAATAAACCCTGTTCATTCCTGGGACCACCATTTTTCTTTTATAACACTATGACTATGGATAAGTAAAGCCATCGAGGCAAAATTCTGCAGCAGAGAGAACCCAGTACTACAACTTGTTTCTTTATCAGCCATTTTTATTACCCTGAACATAAGAGAACTCGCTCATGCGCCTGAAGTGGAAACATGTAAATCAGTAAATTTTCCGAACCACACAGTGGCGTACTGAAACAGGGCAAGCAGTGAACTCTGTAGTCAATAGTGAACGGTAAATCAGGACCCACTATGGCTATTGATCAGGACGAGAGAACCAGGAGCACAAGTAGTTCTGCAGTGAAGACAAAGTTCTATTAGTATCTGTTCGCAATACGAACTCCTCAGCAATGAATACTTCAAAACTCACCCTTTCAGTGAGGTAGGTAAAACCTACTTCCCGGATAGAAGTTTAGGTCGTATTTATGCTTGAAAGAAACTAGAGTGGCGAGCGCTGAACCGGACGGCCCATCAGGTCCATAGTGAGAAAACAACAGGAAACACGTACCACAAACCCCGATCTTTATGTTGTGGGACCAGGGAAAAACTTTGATTATCATAGAAGCTCTCAACCTAGAAAAGTCTAGAATGCCTCGTTACAGTTAGATTCTCATGTGATAGAGCAGATCCTGCATACGTAACATAGGACCAATACGGAGAGGCATCCAGATTGAGGAGTCTGGCGCTCTGACCTCCAGTAAAGAAAAAAACATTTAAAATATTTATAATCTGCAGGATATTATCTTTCAGTTTCTTAGACGGTGATACGTTAGATCCCGGGTGAGGACCATTCCCAAAAAGTCATGTTTGATCCGAGAATAAAGAGGGAACACGAATTACTTGGCTCATGAGCCTTTCACCTGTTTCAGGGAGCATCTCCCTTGAAAGGAAGGTAGGAGAGAAATGCGGGGGATGGGAGGTAAAAGTCTGCTACGACACCCAGGATCAAGTCTAGTGCAATTGAGACACATGTGCAACATCTGGGTATCTTTATTGTAGACGTTTCGCCATCCAGTGGCTTTATCAATACAAATTCCAGGACATAACTTGAAGACAGGTGAACTATGTACAGAAGATGAGGTAATCAGTCCCTCAACGAAGCAGTAGGTGCGAAGAGAACCGTAGTCGTGGAGATTCTGTACATAGTTCTCCTGTCTTCATGTTATGTCCTGGAATTTGTATTGATAAAGCCACTGGATGGCGAAACGTCTACAATAAAGATACCCAGATGTTGCACATGTGTCTCAATTTCATCTTGTCGGTATTGCATACCATTCTTGTACAAGTCTAGTGCATGAGCACCGTTTTCCTATTGGAGATGCGGCAGCCTACAGTGCCAGCCCACCCCACCATGTCAGCTGCCACCTGCAGCTGGCGACTGGCCTTTTCGAGAGAGGACGAGTAATAAACTACTAGCATGTTCACATAAAGGAAGGTCCACACCGTGCCAGGGACAGCACTAGCCATCCCTGGATAATGGGGTCCTTGCAGGACCCCATCATCCAGGGTTAACTAATGCGACCAGCAAGTGGACCCTCAACCCCACCCGCAACCAGGACATTGTGTCGAACAAAAACTACCGTAGGAACCAGAACAACTGGCCCCGCAGTACCAGTTGATGGAGACAGCGGAGCACGCCATGAGAAATTCATTAGGAACATGTTCTCACAGTAAACAGATATTCGAGACATCAAGTGACCAAATAAAAACTGTGGATCACAGATGGCTCCACGTCATCCTGTATCCGATATGAATGGTACTTAATAATACAAAGCATAACATAACTACAAAATACACTGAATTAAATATGAATTATCATATTTAGTTCAGTAGAAACTTTAAATCTATGAAAAAGAAGAAGAGGGATTGCACATCTGTTCAGATACCCAGGTTGGGCTGTCCATCAAAAGGTTTCGTGGCCGTGAAGGTTGAGATAGATAACTGGAGTTTTCTTACATGAAGGAGCAGAAACATTGAAGAACTGCTTTGACATAATTTACTTTGGTTTCGTTAAATTATTTTTTACAGTAATATAATAATAATAATATCTTTATTTACTACAAGTACATGTACAAGGTATACAAGCCTAGCTGACATCTTATGCAGAGCATTTTGGGCAAATTAGGTCAGTTTTGTCCCAGGATGCGACCCACGCCAGTCGACTAACTCCCAGGTGCCCATTTTAATGATGGGTGAACATAGACAACCGGTGTAAGGAAACACGTCCAATGTTTCCACCCCTTCGCCAGGAATCGAACCCGGACACTCACCGTGTGAAGCAAGAGCTTTTTGCCACCAGGCCCCGGGGCACCGTAATATGGTAAAAGATATGAAAATGCAGTTCTCCGCATTCGACTACGTAATTATTGTAACAAAGTTCCCTGGCATATGTATTGGGTGTGATGATTCCATCAATTTCCCTTCCACGCTCTTTTGATATCACGCCTTTAGATTACATGTTTATTGATGAATGGTTCAGAGAACCGACATGTTTATAAATTAGAAACATGTGCAACTCTTGGGTATCTTTATTGAGGAAACGTTTCGCCACACAGTGGCTTCATCAGTCCATACAAAGGAGAATCTTGAAGAACAGGAGGAGAATGAGGTAATCAGTCCCTCAACCTTGAGTCATGTGGTCAGTCCATCAATCTTGAATAGAATACGGCATACGTGCTGAGAAGGAGCTTATAAACCGTTGGCAGGAGAGGTGCAGCAGTCATAGGTCTCCTGCCAACGGTTTATAAGCTCCTTCTCAGCACGTATGCCGTATTCTATTCAAGATTGATGGACTGACCACATGACTCAAGGTTGAGGGACTGATTACCTCATTCTCCTCCTGTTCTTCAAGATTCTCCTTTGTATGGACTGATGAAGCCACTGTGTGGCGAAACGTTTCCTCAATAAAGATACCCAAGAGTTGCACATGTGTCTAATTTATCATTACATGTTTATGGGAGTTTGTGAAGGATTATGCTTTCAGATAACTTTATCTAACATTAAAACACTCGGAATGGTTACACCAGATTAGCCTGTATACATTAAACAACCATAAATTGTAAAAACTCTACTAGCTTAGTTATCACATGTAGAAAACTGCACTCTCATGTCTGTTACCATTTTCCTATAAAAATAAATTCAGAAAAAGATTCTGTGAGCGCTGGAGAAAGAAT